TCCAAGAAAACACTTTCTACCATGTATATCAGCCTAATTAGCCACATAGTTGCTTTTTTAGGGAGCTAAAATCCAGAAGTTTATATTTACTAAAACGAAACTTAGCTATGCATATGAAATTTTCCAGAGTTTCATGTATCAGATCATTGCTACCTTAACAAGTTAAGAAGGTATTTCCCATATGTTTTGACTGGCACATGGCAAACCCACTCCATTTTACTAGGATACCAATATAGAAATAAGACACCCTATTGACATAACCTGTATGTTAATTGTTTTGATTTGAATATAAGACTTGTATAACATTACAATGTAATCAATGTCAGTGAGAGGTTTGATCTACCCGAGTACATCCTTAATCCCAATTCAAGCTTCCTTGCTCAGACCACCTTCCTTCTATCACAAATCCCTTGCATACACGTCATCATGTCTCATAGAAAGCTATTCTATTTTTTTTTTTGCTCATGCTTCCTCTTTACGGCAGTCATTAATTTACTGATACCCTGTCTTTCAGCCCACATCATCTTGATTAGAGCTGTTATCCTAATCAAAAGGCTGATAATTAAGACTATCCATCTGTAGAGTTCTAAGTGCTAAGATGAGTTGAAGATCCTAATTAAGATTATTTAGGTGTTACTTAAATGCCATCATTTGACTCAGCTAATCATACCAGCAGGTACATTAGATTTGCATTAATGTTCTGCTGAAGCCAGCAGCTATTTAGGCAGATCAAAAATGTAGATTGCAGATACTATTTCAAACATCTTTATTTGAAAGTGATATTGAGACAATACATTAAGATAAGCAGGGTGTTAGAACAGGTTAGGTAATTTCCACATTGCTTAATTTACTTTATGGTAATAAGTGGAGTATTTGGAATAAACAGCCTATTTACTGAATTTGCTGTGTATCATTCATCATTCTCCAGTCTCTCCACACTTAGATGCACTCCCCGACACTAACACATTTTTTTCCAGCATCTATCACTATGTCTGTTATACTGAGAGCAGCATAAAGCAACCTCTTCAAACTGAGGCTGCTAAGCATAAATGTGTGGGAGTATACAGACCATATTGTAACCCTTCAAAAGATCATGGTATTCTAAGTTGAAGAAATAAAGTAGCATTTTTATTACTAATGAGTCGAAGTCTAGTATAAATGATCAAGATTAGCATCACAGAAAAGTATAATCCATTTATGTTTATTTTTATCACTTTTACTTTGATGACTAAAAAACACTTTTTCTATTCAATTTATATATGTAAAATAGAATTAAATGGGATCATACAATCAACTATGCCAGGGTCTGTTCTAAGACTTTTTCCATTACATTCTAATGAAATCTAATACTAGAGCCTCTTTAGAAAGATACAAAGATAGTAAAACTTTACAGGAATAATTCTCTAAAAAGGTGCAAAATATTTTATAGTCAATCCATATCTCATGCTGTCACTATACACCTACCACAAGCTGCTTGATAGAGGTCATATGTGGGCTCTGAGTTCCAGAGTGCAAAGTCCGTAACCCTGGAAAGACATTGAATTTGGACAGGCCCACTTGGAGGCAGAGTTTATAATGTGGCATGTCAATGTCTGCGAAAGAGGTTCTCACTATTCCTAATGCCGTGACTCTTTAATTCTGTTATGCATGTTGGGGTGACCCCCAACCATAAGTTAGTTTTGTTCCTACCTCATAACTAATTTTGCTAATGATTGTTATGATTGTAATGCAAATACATGTGTTTTCCAATGGTCTTAGGTGACTCCTGTGAAAGTATCATTTGACTTCTCAAAGTGTCATGATGCATAGGTTGAGAACCACTAGTCTAGGAGGATCAGGAAGCAGAAAGCAAGAGGGGTGGGATTTGGCTATCAGCTACAAGACCCATCCTTATTGATTTATATCTATGAGGTAGACTCCATATTCAAAGCTTCCACAGCTTCCCAAAACAGTAGCTCCATCTAGAAACCAAGTGTTGAAACATGTGAACCTTTGAAAGAAATGTCGCTTTCAAACTACAAAATAATTCTGTTTCCTGCCCACATAGACTTATTAGTGTCTCATAATTAAAAAATCTACCTGGTTCTATTTCAAAAGTCTCCACTGTCTTCAAAGCCACGATAGTGTTCAAAAAGCAGTCTTTTCTGAGACTCCAGGCAAACATTAACTATAAGACAATTACAATTTGAAACATACATCATAAATTTCCAATTTGCATAGATACATAATAAAATATTCCTATTCAAACTGAAGGAGACAACAGCAAAGAGAGATTCACAAAATCAAGCCTGAAATCCTGAAGGACAAGTATTTCATATCCTTGCTATTGTGAATATAATAGTACTGACACTGATAACCAAGTGTCTCTCTGGCAGTATATAGAGTCTATTGACCAGGAATGGGATAGCTGGGTCATATGATAGTTGTATTTTTAATTTTTTGAGGGACTCTCATATGGATTTGCATAATCGCTATACTAATTTACATTTCCCAAATCATGGAATAAGGTTCCATGTTCCCTACCTCCTCTCCAACAGTAGTTGTCAGATTTCTTGATGATAGCATTCCTTTCCGGGGTGAGGTGGCACCTCAAAGTACTGAATTATGCTTTCTCTGATGAGTAGGAAAGTTGAACTTATCAGGAAGTTGTATCGCTTTCTTTTGAATAAGTCTATTCATTTCACTAGTCCATTTGTTGACTGACTAGCACTTACAGTTCTATATATTTTTTATATTAGCCCCTGATTTGAAGTAGAGTTAATAAAGTTTTCTTCTTAGTTTGTGGGCTCTCTGTCTCCTTGCTGATGATTTTCAGAAACTGTGATTTCATGTGGTTCTGTCTGTTGCTTCTTGGGGCTGGTTTCCATACTTTTGAAGTTCAGAAAGTTCTTGCCTATACTAATACTTAGAAGATGTCTTCTTGTTTACATTTTCTTTAAAAAGTTTCAGTATTTGGGGTTCTAAGTTAAGGTCTTCGATCTACTCTTGAGTAAATTTTTGCACAGAGTGAAGATGAATATCTAATTTTGCTATCATTATTTGTTGAATAGACTTTCATTTGTTTATTGTGTGGCATTTCTTCTTGTTGTTGGTTTTCATCTTGATTATCTAGTAGTGAATATAAGATATAGAAGTCACTATTTATACTTGTACATGGCCCTTCCCTCCTGTTTATTTTCAGTAGTATTTAATTTCAGTGCTGGGTGCAGCAACGTTAAGTGGATATGTACTTGAAGACATATATGTTTTTAAATTGATTCCCTTTGTTACTTGTGGTAGGATTTCATATCTTAGGTATAGCTTTGTTTTTCTGTCTTTTTTTGTCAGATATGAGGCTAGCCAGCTCTGCTTCCTTTTCATTTTGCTTGTTGAGATATCTGTTTACCATTCTCTGACTTTTATTTCAAGAGCTTTTGGCATTGTGATGAATTCCTTGTAGACAGAAATAGCTACATTTTGTTTTCTAACTTTGTTGTTGCTGTTGTTCTCTGTATTTTCTTATTCATTTTACATGCAAACCACAGTCCTCCCTCCCTCTCCTCATCCCACTCCCCCACCTTTCCCCAATCCACCCCTCAGAAAGGGTAAGGCCTCCCCCGGGGATTCAACAAAACGTGAACATTCAGTTGAGACAGGACCAAGTCCCCCACTCCCACCCCAGATCCCCTAACCTTACTCCCCACCTCCCACCCAATTTAAGAAAAGGAGGAGGGATTATATGGAGGGGGTTTGGATCATGACAGTGAAACCTGTAGAGACAGTTGAACAGAACTTGTAGGAGCTCATTGACCCTAGACCAACAGCTGGAGAGCCCACATGGGACAGAAACAGGCTCTGTGCATATGGGTGACAGTTTTGCAGCCTGCTCTGTTTCTGGGAACCCTGGCAGTGGGACCCGGATCTATCCTTAGTTCATGAGCGGGCTTTCTGTTTTTAAAATTTTTATTTCAGTTATTTATGTATTTGCTTGTTTAAAGTATTGTGTTTGATGGAATGGGGCTCCCATGCTACAGAGTGGGTATGGAGTTCAGATGACAACTTGGAGTTGACTCACTTCTGTGTGTCCTGGGTATTCAACTCAGTATGTAAGATTCTAAAAGAACAAAAAAGCCTTTACCACCCCTTGATTTTATTGTTCTAACAATCTTCTTTCTTGTGGAGAAAAATGAAGAAATCTAGACCATTTGCCTGCCTTCCTTGGGGTTCCCCACTCTCTGAGAGCTACCACTGGAGCTGTGGAGTGTCTTCTACTCTTCTATGTTCCAGATTTCTCTTTAATTTTTATATCCATCATGCTACACTCTTTGTCTCTCCAGATTACCAATTCCTTTTTCTTTCTCTGCATAATCCAGAAGCTTTGCTTCCCTGACACCCTTACACAGAGATTTACCCGGAGGTTATCTTCCCTCTGACCTGGGAAGTCTATTTCCTATTTTCTGTAACATTGATATGCAGTTTGAAGTTGGAATGTGTAAGGCTTTCTGTTACCTATTGCATAATTTACTTGAGTGAAAACGACGTTTGTTGTTTCACTTTTCTTTTGTCTTCTTTTTCTGTGAAAAAGGAATTGCTAGTTTGATAGTGACTGCACCAAGTCTTTAGATTGCTTTGGGTAGAATGAGTGTTTGACAATAGTCTTCCTCTCCGTGAACACAGAAGCTCTGCTCTGTACTATTTAGAAAATTCAGACAAGTTTTATGTTACTTTGTCTATGTATATCTCTCTCTTCTTTCACAAAACATTTCAGTGGCCTATGCTCTTTTTATGCTATTGTAAGTGAAATGTATTTCTTTATGTTTCTCAGACAGTTTATGTTTCAAAAGGATGCTGAAGTTTCTATGTCTATCATCTATTTTGATATTTTTTTTACTGAAATTACTCTACAGTTTTCCATTGTAAGCTTTAGGAATTTCAATGTATATGTTTCTGTCACCTACAAATAGGCAAATTATGCTTTCTCTTTCAGCTTAAATGCACATATTTTTATTCTTCTTTTCTAGTTTATCTGGTCAAGGCTTCACACAAGCGGAGAGGAAGGGCAGGTATCATGAGCTGACAAGTTGGCTTTAGTGGCTAATGGAGTCTGCCAGCAAGCCAGAAAACCTCAGTTTGATCTGCTTGATGAACACAAAGAAGTGACTCTCACATGTTGTCCTCTGATGTATGCTTGCTTACACGTTTATCTACACACATAACATAATAAAACGAATATAATGAAATAGGGAAGTGTGGAAATCATTGCATTTCTTCTGATCTTGGAAACGCTTGACACATTTTATAATTAAGTATGGTGTTATTTGTAACTTGTAATTCATAGCTTTCATTATGTTGAGGTACAGTCTTTGTATGCTTAGTTTGTTGGTTGATTGCTTTTATTATAAAGGAGCATTGGGATTCATTATATATGTTTTTCTGGGTGTGTTAAGGTAACAAGGGGCTAAAAACAGATCAGTAGTTAAGAGTGCTGTAGGCTCTTCTAGAGGTCTACAGTTCTCTTCCAGAACCTATGTCAACTGCCTGTTACTCTAGCTTTAGGAGTTCTACTGGCCTCAGTGGGCATCCATATGAGTGCACATATGTGCATCTATACCCAACATACATTTGAAGGTAAAGAAAGACACTTTACAGGATGATCACATGTGGCTTGCATTTCACTGATTGAATGAACCTTGCTTGTTGATCTGCCAAGGTTAAACTATCCATGCACCACATGGGAAAAAATTCACAATCGATTACAGTGCATGATTCTTCTAGTGTGACCTTCATTTGTGTCTCTTACTGTTTTGTATAGGTTTATGTGTGTGGAAAGCATGTGAGTCTATGTGCATGACTTAGGTGTGTGAGTGAGTGTGCATTGTGTGTTTATGAATGTCAGACGACAATCTGGGTCCTCGGTCCTTACTTTGTCTTGTTGGAGACAGGGGCTTTTTGTGGTTGTTCTTCCCTGCTGCAGACAGTAAGGCAACTGGCCTGCAAATTTCTATACATTTTCTATCCTCGTCTCCCATCTTTATATCAGAGTACTGGGATTACAGACATAAGCAAAACCACCCGGCCCTTGTGTGAATATTTAGGATTAGTTCACTAAGGAATCTCTCCAGCCCTTTGATAAGGTTTGGCTCCAAGTTTTTTGGCCTGAGTATTCTTTATCATTTCTCTTATATCACTGTATACTGATACTATTGTCACTGTAAGCATCCTTGTCCTGGATCTTGGGGTCCAGTGGACCCTGGATCCAGTGTGCCAATGTGTCAAGCTTGATCCCCCAAGGAAACCTCCCTTCTTGGAATCAGGCTGCAGAACATATGTTTTCTTTCATTTTACAACTCCCACAGCCCAGGTAGCAATAGTCACAACTGCCATCAGTTGCTAGAGCTACACTGAGTCCAAGTCACTGAATTCTCTGGGGAAACAGAAATGGGTTACCACATCAAAACAACTTCCCTTTTTGCATCCATTGCCAGAAGAGTATCTTGTCCATTGGCTTCCCTTGAAAAGTGATAAAAGAGACAGATGCTGCCTGTGATGTACAGATGGCACTGGAAATGCAGGAAAAGCAAATAGATGGGCTACTATCAAAGTAATACAGTAGCTGTCCAGTAATGGTGACCTTTAAGAAATGGACACCTAAGGGTTCCCGGAGAGGAATTCAACAAAATTATCGTAATGAAGTAGTCAGAGACAGCACACTTTTCATTCCATCCTCATCATAGACATTGGATATTAAGGGACAGGGAGCAGCATTTCAAATTATAACTTAAAACTATAACTGGCTTCATTATCCATAATTTGCAAAGTAGCTCTCAAAAATCCATGGTATTCATATTTTCCAACCTCGTCCCTCCTAGACATTGACACATCAGTTATTCATCTGATGATGGAACATAATTTCTTCTGCCCTTAGGTAGGAGAGGTCTGAGTTATTGAACTTAGAGGCAGCACTTTAATTCCAGACAAATACAAAGAGTGCAGAGGATCTGAGTACCCTGAACTTAGACTAGACTGACACTGAATAATTTAGAGGCAAACATGTTTGACACCATTAAGACACTGAAGCCTCAGCTGACAGCACCCAGTAATTCTACTTTCCTGGAAGGTGGCCAGCAGTCCCTTAGTTATGGATTCTTTATTTTAATGTGACTAATTCATATTTTGCTTAATGATTTTCAGAAAAAAATTTTTATTGCAAATTTTTTGTTTGCTTTTCATATAAGATTGTAATCATTTTAACTTATGCATAATTTTTCTTGGTGAATGGCAACCTCAATCATTTTGGTGCAAGCTTTTTTGTTTCATAAAGTTTACTTAATAATAAACACTGTGATTAGTAGGGAAGTTTAGTTTAACATGCAAAATATTATACAAATTGCAGATATAACACTTTTTATTAAGCATTCACTCTGTTGTAGACATACAGCTTATAGTTTTACTTTTATGTCCCAGTTCTCTATAAACAAGCTCAGTCAATCTTGATGACAACACTAAGACATTCATGATAGACCTGGTAAGTCAGTGTTAAGGGCACCAAAGGAGATATGCATAGTCACCTGTGACAGGAAAGTAGTTTTATCTGATTTGTAAGGGTATTGTACAGATTAAGATAGTTTTACCATATTTTCCTCTCAGAAAAGTTTATCCTACAACACTTTTTCATCTCAGTAAAGTAAGTGAAATCTCCATTCTTTTATTTTTTGAGGTTGAAAACTTATAGAGACAATGTCAGTGATTATTTCCCCCATTTTCCAATATTCCCCACATTCAGCCTTTGGCTATGCATTCATGGGACAGATATGTAGACACAGGTCAAAGTGAGTTTTTTTCTACAACGCACACACACACACACACACACACACAGAGAGAGAGAGAGAGAGAGAGAGAGAGTTTGATGAATTATAAGACTTTGATGTGAATTTAAACTAAAAAATGTCCACTAATAATATCTCAGGAGACACTTCCAGGAAAGCATACATTAAATGAATTTTCAAATAATCAACTTAAGGACTTAGAGTGGGGTGGGGCTTTATATGACAATGGTTGGGAAAGATTCGGTGTGGGGTCCATAGCTACACTCCTTTGCTTTTAGTTTTGTTTGGTGATGACACCTGATGATCTTTTGGTATGCTTATATTTCTTTGAGCTTCACTACTAATTTTATTGGTTCCTCGATTTTTTTAATATCCCTTATAATGTCCCATCTTGATCATTTATCTTGAGTGAATCCTGGGTTTTGAAATCATAGACTCTGCAGGAAATAAAACATTGATCTTCTCTTGATCATGAAAGGTCAAGATTTCTGAATGAATGCCCCAGTGGATTAAAGGAAAACATATTCTTGCAGGTAATTTCAGAATGGAGGAAAAAGTAGGTCACTGCTAATTGACAAGTCAGATTTGGATCTCAATCTTTAGAAACATTAGGACTGAATTGTGAACCCCCATATTTCAATGATGAATTTCAATACCCAGAACCTAAGACTATTATTTGTTAACAGAATGAATATTTAAAGAGGTGTTTAGGGTGAACTTTTAGGGGAATAAATTTAGACACAGACACACACAGTGTAGAGTTGTAGACACATGGGGAGAAGTTTCCTGAGAAATCTTCCTGACTCTTTCTGCTCAGGTGTCCAGGCTACAGAATTTATCCACCAGATAATAAACTTTTGTACCAGAAGTCTACTCCCATCAGCTTCTCAATTCGGCTAGTTCAATCCACTAATGCAGAGGGGTAACAATAGAATACCTCTGGTCAGTTCAGATTCAGGAGTACTAAGATGAAACCATAATTTTTCCTTGGTCAAGTAGACCTGCACGATAATGCACTAGTTCCCCTCATCTCAGATACTGAGGTGAATTTGTACAGAATACAAAGTGAAAACTGCTAAGTGCAAACTATTGGCATTTTGGCAATATCTATCTATCTACTATAGGGAAGCCTCAAATCAAAACCACATAGAGTTTATATTTTATTCTTGGCACTACTTTATTCAAAAAGAATAAATTCAATGGTATATTATTAGCAAATTATCCTGGAAATATTATATTAACTTATACTTTTAAAAATGATATCATTGTGTAGCCTTACTGATATTGTAAACATGCAATCTATGTGTTAACTTACAATTTAGGATATAATATCACTTGGTTGTTTGACCATGCTATGACCATGCATTTAATCTCGAAAGGTGTATTAGACTAATGCTATATGGTAATGTGTTTAAAGATAAACATTTGGTCATCAAGAACTTACAAAATCTTGAGCTATTGAGAAATTTTAAGGACTGAAATTATGTATGTGCTTACTTCTTTTTAACATAGACTGAGGCCTAATCCAAATTCACTCACATAGGCATTGAAAATCATATTGTTTCAAATAAAACGACCGTTCTCACACACAGTTTGTTGGTTATTCGAGCTGCTTGCTAGGCATAAGGACTTCTGCTTTAGACAGCACTTATGAAAACTGGCATCCATATTAGCTAAAATAAACAAACCAGAGTTTTCTTCTCATGACCTTAGAAGCTGATCCTTCTGGAATATCTCTTTGCATGTTGTCGAAGTGTTTACCTTCCTAATCACCTCCTGGTGTTATAGTGAAGTTCCCTTTGGCTGGTCTAAAGAGTTCTTCTGGCCCTTGGTATTTACACACAGAATCTAAATATTTGTGAGACTACTTGCCCCTGCTCTTTCCTCCTCAGTCAGCAAAGGCAAACATCAGCAAGTCCCAGACTGCCACAAGCATGGAGGGAAGAGCAGTTGGTCTCCTGACAACATCTGCACTTTAGCAACCATCACCATTTATTCACTCAGTCATCAGTCATTGACAGGCACTCACACCCAATAGGTACCGTATTCCCTCTGTGAACTTCAGGAGTTTTACTCAATGTTCAGAAGCGTGTGTCAGTAAACACAGGTGATTCCACATGCTAACATGTAAGGAGTACATGTAAGGAGTGAATGTAGCAGCAGCCTGACCAGGAGCTAAGGCTACCACCCTAGATGGAGGAGAGATGAAGAAAAAGACACTGATGATGTCAGAAAGAAACTCTTAGACTTTCTCTTTGTTTTAGGAAAATGAGACAGCCATAGCAAACAATGAACTGGACTATGATAATGCAGAATATGAAACACGTTTGTCCACATAAATTATTGGAATCATTGCCCAAAGAATGACTATATTCTATAATCTCAAAGCAATTTCTT